CTGTAATGTGTAAACTAAACAACCTTCTTCAAAGCCAACACAATCACCATAAAGAGAACTATTGTACAAGTATTTGAGTATTTTTCACATCATTAACACATCTGATGAATAATGTAACATTGTTTTATTGTGCCCAAGTGAAGTTTTAATCAATGTCTGGTAACAAGATTTTATAACTAGCGAGAGTCGCTTTGGTCCCAAATATAAAATTTGTGCAAAAGTAAAGATGGGTATGTAATTGTTATATGGTAGTAACTTTAATATAGTACTTACATCATCAGTAGATACAGTATGGTATAATAATAAGAAACTTGTCATGTTTTAAGCACAGTTCCTCTAAGAGGTGCTGTGATTTAAAGGTGATAGTTGTCGTATCATGCATGCATGAGATATATGGGTCTTATATAAACAAAGTCGTACCCAGGTCAAACCTCATGCTTGTGATTTCCATCACAAGAGCACATTGGATTGTGGGAGAATCTATGTTTCTGGCCACAAATGTCACCCCTTTCGACTCTACATTGTACCATCTTTGATGTATATATCTTGAAATATCTAGCCGGAACAATATCACATTTAACACTCTTTAAACCATGTTAGACTAAGACATCAATACTTTTACAAATGTAGCTCTACAATATATATATATATATTGCCATAACTCCCATGGTGCATTTCATTTGAACATTAAAGTAGCACTAAGAATACAGCTGTGTGGTATAACAATACAATGTTCTACGCCTTGCACAAGGTGAGATACCCAATCTATTATTTACTTTATGTCCTTTCTTGAAAAGGCGATCTATTCAATATTAAAATGTCATCAACTATTCATTCTTTGAATTCACAGAATGAGATCAATCTACAATACAGCGCCCTCAACAACAACTCTCATATTTTTGAAACCACACCCACTTTTGTAAAACCATGCCGAAATTGTAACTCAATGTTCAATTAACAGTTATTATAATAAACAGAACTTCGAGTGACGGGCAACAAACTTTTTAGTTTTTGTTGAACGTCCACATTCAGTAACTCAAACTTTAAATAACAGTTAACCAAACTTTGATTTACGGGCAACATATAGTTTTGTTTACCTTTCAAATTGGTCTAATGATTGATGAGATCATAGTAACATACTTTGGTTGTATAATTGTATACAATACATAACTTATCTCTGGAAACCAGCGGGATATAAGTTGTTGCTTTTCACCCACACACGTCACAGGAATGTCATCAATAGAGGGCAGAACTTACTAAAGATGCAGTGCTTTGAGAGTAAAAGAACACAAACGATTTTATTTTCATTTATTTTTTTATTTTTTATATAATTGTATATATATTTTTTTTGCATTTTAATATGTTTGTTTTTTAAGTTTTTGTAAATAGTTATAGCATATCCCCATATTAATGTGTCATTACAAGGTTATACCGTAAAAGGGGAACTTCAGAAAACCACGTGTACATGAGATGTACTTTCTCCAGTTAAGCTAAAATATGAACTATTGTTCCTATTTATGGATGTACCGGACGTCGCCATCTGTGTTGATATGGCATCTATCGTTAAATATACTGTTTCCAAGCTATAAAAGAAGAAAAAAAAGGATTAAGTGAATATAATGTCAATAATAATAATAATAATAATGTTAGCAATGCATATAACAGTTAACACATCATGATGTGTTCGTTGTTCTGGATGTTGACCGAGACACAAAACCAATGGAGCGTTGTGATTTCAATCGTGGACTTACATGGATTGTCTGCATTAATGGAAATCTTATGGAGTAGCTGAAACAATGTCTTACCTCGAAGGGTAATTTTTGTCCATTCTGTCTTGATTATTCAATGGTCTGGTGTGCGTTGTATTGTGGGTGTCTTGGGTCAGCTAATGGATACAAGCATAGAGACTTGGTGAGCTTTATGTACATTAATAGTAACAGCAAATAAGTCTCAGATATTACGGAAAGTGAGTAAAACAAATGTGTCAGCGTAGTTTGGTTACGATGAATGTCACTGTGTGTCTATAGTACATGCCAGTGTGTTGTGATAATTGTGAAAGTTGAACCCATTTGGAACCCTGGTTTGATTAACTGTTATTATGTTTACAACGATCACTGGCATGTTTTAGAAAGTGTTTAGGAATATTAGAAGAGAGTCTGCAAGGGGTATTTTCGTAAGCTGTAATAATTCATTGTTTTTATTTTCGTAATAATGTAATTTAAATAAATAAAAACGTAAAATCGTAGACAGGAGCAAGATGTAAAATGTTATAAGCTATTTTATTCGTCCATAATTTGTACAAAGATCTTGCCTTTTTTTATTTCCTGTAACCCGTACCAGGTATCCCCTTTGCCCCCCCCCCCCCCCCGAAAGTCTCCCCATATTTGCCTACCGGGTGCGGGATGTAAATATCTCGCGCTCGCTGTAAATATGAACATTACCTGTTTCCAGTCAATGTCTTCATCTGATATTGATTTATAAATATTCTTCATCAAAATATTGTCTACGCCACCTTGTGTAGCTTTTGGCATAGGCTTGGATTTCGATTGCATGTCATGTGAATCATCAGGTGTGCTTTGTGTGGTCGCAGATGGCGCTACAGAGACTGCACTAGCCTGTAAACGTAACAATAAAACATAGTATAAACTCTCTCGATAGATTTCTTTCGCGATCACGCTAAAAAGGCTACTTTTTTTTATAAAACAAACGACGATGAGATCCTCTAGATTAAAATACAACAAAACTATTTTTTTTATTTCTACGAATATTTATAAATTTCACAATGCAAGCTGAAACGAGAGGTTTCTATTGGCCGGTGGCATAACTTTGTAATATTTTCAAATGACGTAATCATGACACTCGTTGATTGGCTGATTGAGTGCAGGCCATCAGTGAAACTCATAAATAATGGAATGATTTTTTTTTTCCTGTTCATAATGTCAAAGCGTAAAAACTAACAATGACTATCACTACCATAAGTACAAATATGCTGGGTACCAAAGTGCAGGTATTTTGTGTCAAATATTTTATGGGTCGATTTCCGTGTAAATTATAATTTAAAACAAACTAATTGTTGCCAGCACTAGTGTTCGGCTCACAAGACAATGCCACGATACAAGGAATTACTGACGTCGGTAACATTACTAGTATACCATAGTATGAGTGTATATAGCATACCGCAGTCTTCTTTAGTTTAATATTCGATAGTCCTGTGGCTGGAAGTCCTGCAAGTATATTGACAGGGGCAAGCATCGGAACGGCGCCAACCATCGCTTTCGGCTTTGGCACGGCATATTCTGGCTCAGTGGATTTCTTGACTTCATAAACCTTCTCATGTGCCGTTTCGTCATCTTCGTTTAGTTTCTGCATTAAAAATAAACGTGTTCAGAGTGTATTGAATAGCTTAAACATTTGTGCTGACATTCCTCTGGGATTCGCTCCCGACGCTGATTAGGAATGTAAATTATTCGTGTATGACGTCACCACCCACCTTGCCAGTAGCTTTCAATTCGATATTGCCCAATCCTGGCATGGGGGCTCCCCCTAACATATCGAATCCAACAATAGCCTTAGGTTTGATACACGCTGCAGAATACGACTTTTCCACTTCTACATTTGTGTCGTGCTCGTCGGAGTCATCTTCCAGCGGGATGTCTTGAAACAATTCTACTTTTTCAATCATCTATGAAGAATATTTCAAATAATACATTATTTACACAATCACAACCAACATATTTCTGCCATCAAACATATTATATCAAAATATAATGATTTATCAAACTTGTGACGTAATTAAATTACAACCCGCGTTTTGTATAATTTGTGACAAAGGTTTCCATAGCAATATTGTTGATATGTTAGTCAATGTACACTAACCATTTTATTCAAATTTCGCGGTACGTCACCGTCAAAATATGATTTCTCTCAAAAACATTTCTGAAAAATGCATTGTATGAATCTACATAAGCAATGCATAGTTTACCTGTCGTATTGTATAGCTAGGACGCCTCCTACCCGAGTATTGTGGTCGTTCAACTGTACAACAAGCTAGGGGTTCACCGCGTTGAATGTCATCAAAATTCTGTTTGTTGGTTCATAAATAATGAATAACTATTAGAATATACATATATACAGTTTGGGGAACTCAAAACTACAGATATTTATTTTACAGGGTGCAGAAATCGATTTATCAATTTTGAACTCTGAAACTGGCCCGGGGAAACTGGGTGCCGACTCTGTTCCTAAGTCCATGCCATATAATCATGCTATAGAGCTAAGCGATCTTATAACATATTAAAGAAGATTGAATACACCTGTTTTTGTTACGTTTATGGATGCCTCAAAGGCATTCGATTATGTTCGTCATGATATTCTTTTTGAAAAGTTATTACTTAGGGGTGTTAAGACTTATTTAATGAGTTTTAATGTTTTTGGTACAAGCATCAAACATTTGCTGTTAGATGGAATAATTGTTTTTCTGATGTTTTTCATTCAACAAACGATGTTAAACAGGGTGGGATCTCTTCACCTTTATCTTGACAACCTCAGTAATGAACTATCCTCCCTTCTGTTTGGTTGTTTAATAGGGAGTCAGAGAATTAATCATTAATTTTATGCTGACGATATTGTAGTATTCAGTACAGGAGTGTATGGTCAACAATTACTAGTTGATACTTGCGGACGGTATGGCAAACTTAACTCTATCTTTTTTAATGAGAAAAAAACCGTATGTATGTTAATTCAGCCTTGTTTTCGAAGGTTAAGGAATGTGTCAATTTATTTAAGTGGTAGACTACTTGATTACGTCACTGTATATAAATATCTGGGACACTTGATCACTAGTGACCTTAATGACAACTTTGACATTCAGGCCAAATCTCGTCTCTTTTATGTGAGAGGCAACACGATTATTCGCGATTTTAAATTTCCGTCCTTAGCTATTAAATGTCATTTATTTTCTGTATTTTGTGATATTCCATATTGTGCATTTTTGTGATATAATTTTACACTTTGTAGTTTTAACTCTATTAGGAGAGCACACTCACTTGTGTTTCGTAAATTATCTGGGTATTCACATTTTGTAATACAGAGTAATAGGGCATTGTTTGTTAATCTCTATATTAGATCTTTTGATGAAATTCTTCGGAAAAAAACATTTAGCTTTATTATTAGACTGCACCTTTCATCTAACCCCATTGTAACAACAACATTGTACATTTCAATTCATTCCCAGAGTTTAATATGGAAATTATGGGAGAAGAGAATTTTTTGACTTGTATTTTTTTTTGCTATGGATTTTTTATGATCTGAAATAAACACATAATAATAATAATAATAATAATAATAATAATAATAATAATAATAATAATAATAATAATAATAATAATAATAATAATAATAATAACCCCATTGTAACAACAACATTGTACATTTCAATTCATTCCCAGAGTTTAATATGGAAATTATGGGAGAAGAGAATTTTTTGACTTGTATTTTTTTTTGCTGTGGATTTTTTATGATCTGAAATAAACACATAATAATAATAATAATAATAATAATAATAATAATAATAATAATAATAATAATAATAATAATAATAACCCCATTGTAACAACAACATTGTACATTTCAATTCATTCCCAGAATTTAATATGGAAATTATGGGAGAAGAGTATTTTTTGACTTGTATTTTTTTTGGCTATGGATTTTTTATGATGTGAAATAAACACATAATAATGATAATAATAATAATAACACATCGGGCTACTTGGTGTATTCAGTTCAATGTCGACACAAACTTAAAATACATAGGTTACACTTACCATGGAACTTGGCTGAGTTGTCACGACGCCATCGTTCTGAAAAATATATAAAAAACTTTCTATTATACCATCTGCAGTGTGATGGACGTCTGCCATTCAGCATATGAATAATTCAAAATAATTATTCTTAAATAAAATTTACTCCCGTTTCTGGATAAAATGCGGACGTAATTTTTTAGAGAACGCATCTGTGCACGAAATGTGTTTGGGTCACACCAACAGGGTCTTTCTCCGTGAAATTCAGACCAATCAAATGTCCCGGATATTGAACATATTGTCATTGCAGTTGTCTGAACCTTATGACAAAATTGTAATAGCGACGAATTGACAAAAATATCATATAAGCACCAAATATAAAAAAGTAATTGTACTCATGGATTGCCAGTAAAAAAATAAAATAATACAATATTTACATTAAATTGCGCACCTTTGCCGGTTTTTCCCCACTGTCCTTGCTTGTTCCAAAACAGCACCAAAACAAACGACTTAAACATCCTCCTGATTCCACAGGCGTTTCACTTGGTTTTTCTTCAAAATGTACATTTTGCTTTGTTTTTTTCTTCTTTTTTTTCTTCTGCAATTTTTTGGTGGAAGTTTCGCTTTCCTGTTCATCTTCATTGTCTGTCCCGGTCGAACTCTGACTCTCGCAATTGTCGCTGTCCTCCAATTTGTCAGAAACCTCGTTTGTTTTGACATCTTCGTCGCAATTGTCGCTGTCTTCAAATTTGTCAGAAACCTCGTTTGTTTTGACATCTTCGTCGCAATTGTCGCTGTCCTCCAATTTGTCAGAAATCTCGTTTGTTTTGACATCTTCGTCGCAATTGTCGCTGTCCTCCAATTTGTCAGAAACCTCGTTTGTTTTGACATCTTCGTTGCAATTGTCGCTGCCATTTAACTTGTCAGAAACCTCGTTTGTTTTGACATCTTCGTCGCAATTGTCGCTGTCTTGCAATTTGTCAGAAACCTCGTTTGTTTTGACATCTTCGTCGCAATTGTCGCTGTCCTCCAATTTGTCAGAAACCTCGTTTGTTTTGACATCTTCGTTGCAATTGTCGCTGCAATTTAACTTGTCAGAAACCTCGTTTGTTTTGACATCTTCGTCGCAACTTTCTTCCTCGGAACTTTCACTGGGGCTGTTAGTTGTATATTCATCAGAGCTTTCGGATTTCTGCAACAAAAATATACTTGCAGTGAATGTAATATCAACAGTTTTTGATGGCCGTTTTTTTCCTCAAAATAACATCACCGTGATTGCTCTTGCTAACGAGGCGATAGAAACTTACAATCTACCAACCCAAGAAGAACATGAATCAAAAACAACGGAAAAAACGGCGAATTAGTGAAAAAAAGGTAACCTACCATTTTGTCTTTGGGGTCTTCGATTTCTTTTATGAATATTGCATTATCGTAAAGGAGATCACTGCTACGAATAACGTGGTCAACACACAACTATCGCTATATGCGTTCGAAGTGCAATTTTGCGTTTCAATCACCATTGTTCGTTTGATCTCGAACCTGCTAGAGGGCGCGCTGTCCGTACGCCGCGTCGACGCGACGCGCAGTAATCGACGCGCGAACAGACTAACGCCCTCAGGCGTTCAAGGTTATTTGGCATGATAATTTAAATTTTTGAAGGTGTTATAGCTTCAATAAACGATCGAGAAATTATGTGAATCCATTTTAAGTATGTTTTGGCGATATTTAAACAAATGCTTGAAAATTTCGTATGTTCTGGGACAACCGTTACGACAATTGCATAACCGATAATGTTTAATATAATGTACCTCTGACTGAACTTATCATTATTCGGCGTATTTTAAAATAAATAAATAAATAAATAAATACATTTCTATTTAGTACTAGCCACCCATATCGATTTAGCAATTATATCAATATTCATTTACTGTTGGTGAGTCTGGTTTACAATTTCTACTGGTTGTACTAAAGTTTTGTTTGTACGCTGTATACATAAATCATAGGTTGAGAACAATCCAAGCATGACGAGCAACAATAGGTTTTAAATACACCTCCATATTGATGGGGTAAAACATTTGCACGCAATACATTAACATAAGTGATTATTTTGTGATGTGACCTTGTCGCCTCCCGGCTAAGCCCCTGTGAAGCACGAACTGAAGTATTCCCGTGATCACGACCGGGGGTTACGGTTGCGGTTATTATATCTTGTTTACATTTTTTTAATTTGAATAAAAAATAAAATATCTCATCTATTATAAGCGATCGCCAAAGAAATGTGAGTATAATGATGACGTAACACCGCAATGACAACTGGTAGCTACTTGTCGAGAAAGCGCACGATTCTAATATGGAACACGCTTGATTGTGTTTGCCGACAATGCCCATACACGATTATTCGCTTACGCTAGAAAACCAAGATTTGGAAACAACTTTGTGGTAAGTCTGTTTTCTTATCTTTCTAATACTTTCACATTGAAATTTCACGCTACTGTGACATCATGATACATCTAGTATCGGTCCGTATTCACGGAGTTACGGGCGACAAGGGTGACATAATTTTAAACGCGTTGATGAGAATGCCGTAGCGCTGCCGCTTGTACGATCAAGTGATACTCTGTCAAGGCAGTTATTTCGACTGTACAGCAATCCGATTCCCTGTATGTGTATGTAAGTGTAGGCTTTGAGTTTATATTGACCTCATTGCCGCTTTTATGAAGTCAACCTTGTCAACTACTAGTATTTCTCTCATTTAGCCACGTGACTGAAACCATCGTAATGCAAATGAGTGCACAATGCTATTTTTATATTAACATTTCAAATCATGAACCACATGAGCATATTTTAGTAATTTAACAATTGTGCATGCAAAGAAATAAAAATGAATAGTTTGTTTAATAGTTACACAGCACCAGTCGGAATGCTGGTGTATTTAAAAAAAACAAAAAACAAAAACAAAAACTATTCGCCACCTTCTGCCCACGCGGCATGTTTTGTTACGGTTAATTTTAGTGCTACATGTAACAGAGATTAGCATGGCTACATTTTGTCACCGACTTCCACGGTATTGCGTTAACCGTATCTTAGGAACAAACATGGTACACAGTATAATGTTTCCGACTTCTCATCTTACGTCACTATTGTAAGCAATATAACTTATAGTTGTTAAATTTGAAGTCGATCGCCGAGCGAATAGACTTGGCTTGGTGGTGACGTTAAATACAGGTGAGTCCAGTTATGCGTGTTTCTAAATGTGTCTGACGAGATAATATGTATATATGCATGGGTATCTCTTCTCTCTTTCATGATATAGTTATGTCGGCATAGGGTAACATCAGCGTGACCGTGGTTAGCATTGGTTAGCTCCTGCGTCACATCTTGACCCAAACTGACGGTATTGATATTGTACCGCTCCCATGGGATATTTTAGGCGCATGTTTCACTCAGTTTAGTTTAATAATTAATTTGGAATCGTCTTCAAAGATGTAAGACATCTTATAGTGTTTTGTTGTATCCGCCAAGTAGACAAGTATTACGTGGCTTGGCCGGCGTTCCTACACGAGTAAGCTGATCAGGGTCATGCAGTGTATATATAAGTTCCATGAACTTAAAATGCTGGTGTATTTATGGCGTTCTACACCAAAAATATTTAAATAATATCGAAATAAGTGAACATTTGGGTTAATATTTTTGGCACAATTTGGAATAGTACAAAATGAAGAAATATGACCGCCAACAATGTGACGATAATAAGAATGAATTCAGTTGGTTGAATCACAGATTCTGTAGCGACATGTGATCTGTGTGATCAAAATACCATGCTCGTTTAAATGTGTCACGCATGACAGATATGTATACTAAACTTAAAAGACGCCATTTAAACCACATGTCTTTATGTCTGGATCGTGATGACGTCATCACGACTTAATGATATATTGGCGATATTGTACAATATTGTGAATTACAACTAACGAACTGTCAATTACTGATGTACACGCCATCGGTTCACGCATGATAGTACACAAGTACACACATACTACTAGTACGTAGTAGAAGATGTTTTGATACGACTTGAAGTATCAACTTAGATTGTCTTGTATTTATAGCACTACGATAAAGACTTTCTGTTTTTGACATTCATTCGTCTTTTGGGAGGAAAAAGAACTGATTTTGATAATTTAGAAATTTATATTAAGAATAATTTATAACGAATGTATTTCCTATGCACCCATAAATAATTACCGATTACACAAGAATATTAGAGAAAAAAGATAATTTGCTATATTCTCTATATTTTTGTCTTTTATTTGTCTTGAATTATGACTGAAAGAAGCTG